AATGTTAGGTAGTTTTATCTTAGGTTCAGTTAAGGTTGTTTTTTTTTAAACTATAGTTGTCAGTTAATTATTTTCCTTTTTTGATAGAATAAAAACTGTTCAAGTAGCATTTAGAGATGATCATGTGACAAGGGTCCATTATGTGTGCTTTCCATGTGTTGCTTTCTACCCCGTGTGTTCCCTGTTTTTCCAGATTTCTCCTCTTTGCCCTACCCTTCAACTTTTCTCAGCTAGGCCCCACTATTCTAAGGGGCATTTACTATATAGCACCTATTAAACTTACTTGTAACTGTCTTTTTTTTTTTTTTTCTCCTTTGGGCCAGGTCGGGGTATGATAGGTCGGGGAAGAGGGGGCTTTGGAGGCCGAGGCCGAGGCCGTGGACGAGGGAGAGGTGCCCTTGCTCGCCCTGTGTTGACCAAGGAGCAGCTGGACAACCAGTTGGATGCATACATGTCGAAAACAAAAGGACACCTGGATGCTGAGTTGGATGCCTACATGGCGCAGACAGATCCCGAAACCAATGATTGAAGCCTGCCCACCCTCCCGTGAGAGACTCTTGATAGTCAGACACATCTGTAAATAACCTTGAGATAACAGATAAGAAGAAATCTGATTGATGCTGGATGGACCTATCACAATAGGCTGTGGACTTACTTCCCACCAGCTTGTGCATTTAGTGTGTTCCTTTTACTTTTTGATACTGTATTGTATGAAGCCCTTTTGTCCTTTGATTTGGTTTTTTGTTTTTGTTTTTTTTGGGGGTTGGGTATTTTCCCCTCCTTTACCCAGACTTCTCTTTGAACACAAATGCATTAGCCTTGTGGCTAGAACACCCTCTTCCTACCTCTGCCTTCCCTCACTTGTCAAATGCTCTGACATGCTAATATTTCTTTTGTTGATCTCTGTTGCCCCCACAGAAAGGTCCCAGAAAAAAAAAACAGTGTTCCTCCCTGACGCTTAGATTTCTGAGGTAGGGTTCTGTTACATCCTCTTCAATAGCCTCTTTAAAATGTAAGTCGGGAGCTCAAAAATGCATTCTTCCACATTGATAATTTAGTACATTGAGAACATTGACATCGCTACAGGGCAGCATAATTGGTTGCTGACATGTGGTAGCAGCTCTGATTTGATCCAAGTTGCTACCATGTACATTGACACCACATATAACCAGCGTGCTGGGTTGAATCATACTAGATTTCTACCCTTGTATGAGATTTACACACTTTCTTTTGGCTTTGTATCATGTCCAGAAGGGTACTATAGGGTTGGTTTATACCTACAATATAGAGGAAGAAGCCATTTGATGTGGCAGGTGTGTCAGAATGGAGAATGATGGCAGATGAAGTGCTGGAAGAGGTCAGAAAATATCCATGCTAAAATGTAATTATCCTCATGTTTATCCCAAACCAATCTCGGACTTTTCCACTCATTAGCTTTATTTCACCCTTATTTCCCTTGAAAGTTTAATTAAGTTCAACCAATTGTCAACTGTTCCAGTTTCAGTGGAATCTTGTATTTCTGGTTCATTATAACAAATTGTTTGCTCAAATCCACCCAGTACTTGGTTTATTTGGAGCGCCTCAAAATGCTGTGGCTACTTTAATGATATCTTTTTTGAGACGGAGTCTTGCATTGTCGCCAGATTGGAGTATTATGGCATGGTCTTGGCTCACTGCAACCTCTGCCTCCCGGGTTCAAGCAGTTCTCCCTCAGCCTCTCAATTAGCTGGGACTACAGGTGCACGCCAGCACACCCAGCTAATTTTTGTATTTGTAGTAGAGACGGTTTCACCATGTTGGCCAGGATGGTCACCATCTCTCAACCTCATGATCCACCCGCCTCGGCTTCCCAAAGTGCTGGGATTACAGGTGTGAGCCACTGCGCCTGGCCACTTTAATGATGTCTTTATATACCCCTTGTATAGTTGAGAGAGTCTCTGTCTTCCTGCTTGTGTTAAAATTCTGGAGAAGACTGGCTTTAGCAGAGAGTGAAGAATTTGACTTCCTCTGAGCCCTGCAGAAATAATATGCCCACAAAAAAGCAAGATCATCTTGGGCAACATTCTGGGCCCTTGGACCCTGGCACATGCTTCTCTCTGTTGCTTTAAGAGAAAAGGACCTGGTAGTGCCAAGCCAGTTGTCACTGGGCTGCCTTTCACCCTAAACTGCTAGGAGGTTGTAGAGATTTTGTCAGGACGATCTAAACTTGAAGCCTGACTCTGATGTGGGTATCTGAAGGTCCCAAGGGAGAAGGGCAGTGGGGGTCTAGCAGAGGGCTACAGTGACCTCAGAACTGAACCCCCAGTTTTGTTCCCTCTATGCTTTCGAAGGCTAAAGCACAAGGGCTTTCCTCTCCCTGAAACCTCAGTAAGTACAAAATGCTGGTCTCCCTCCTCAGAGGAGACTAATGCTCAAGAGTTCTCTATAAAGGAGGTGACTGTCATAACCTAGGCTTCCTTCTTTCTACCTCCTCTGTATCTTTCCTGCCTCATGCAAGAATCCATCCCCAACTCCCAGCGGGGCACAGGGAACTCTCAGCCAAGGGTCCTCCAGCCTCACCTCACTGCAGTTTCCAGATCTCCTGAGGCCCCTGTCCTTGTCATCTTCCGTCACATCTAGTGTGGGACAGGATGAGTAAACCTGGTCTCTGGGTCGGCCTTTCATTCAGCTGCCATGTGCTATGGGCTTGCCATACCAACAGAAGGTATCCTTTGTAAGGGTGACATTGGGAGCACAGGAAAGAAGCTGATGAGCTGGATCTTGTAAGATAAGGGGAAGTTTAGAGACAAGAAGATAGCGTGCAGAGAGGGAACGAAGTGTAAAGGTAGACTGCTGAAAACATCTGAGGTAGGATGGAAGACTACAACTGACAAGATGTAGGTTGAAGCCACTGCTAAAGACCTTGGACTTTATGCTTTCATCAGTGGAGAGACAAGTATTTTAAGCAGCATAGGATGGTGTGATTTACATAATACTGGTGAGAGGGAGCTACTCGCCATGGCCTTCAGTCCTCGTAAGCCCTCAACAGCAGCACTTTCTTCCCATTCTCCAGGCTCCCTGGTACCTTGTCAGGCAATTTCAGCTAATATCACCCAGCAAGAGGTGAGCAGCAAGATAAATAAGTGGAGCAGGCCTGGGAAGGAGGTAAGGGACCCCGAGGGGCAAGGACCTGGAGTGGTCCTGGCCCCTGTACCCCCTCTCTTCCAATGGGCTGTCCTTTCCCACTGCAGCCCAGTCCTCCCTCTGATTGTCTAGGGTAGGCGTCCCCAAACTTTTTACGCAGGGGACCAGTCCACTGTCCCTCAGACCGTTGGAGGGCTGCCACATACTGTGCTCCTCTCACTGACCACCAATGAAAGAGGTGCCCTTCCTGAAGTGCGGCAGGGGGCCGGATAAATGGCCTCGGGGGGCTGCAGTTTGGGAACGCCTGGTCTAGGGAATGTGCCAAGGGCAAGGTTGTCCAAGACTCCATTTTGCGGGGCTCTGGCGACCTCTTAATTACTGACATGCTTGTCCTCCCTTCATCCCAAACACGTACAGACAGGGTTGCCACAGGAGAGGTGGATCTTGTGGCTTCTGACCTCAGACCAACCCCAGACACCACCCCTCCAGTCCCTTAGAAATCACTGTATCTCCAGGATTTTGTTCTGTCTCCCAGTTTTTACCTGGATGTCAGTAGAGGAGGTGGGCCTTAGGCCAGGCGCGCAGTGGCTCGTGCCCGTTATCCCAACACTTTGGGAGGCATAGGCGGACAGATCACCTGAGATCGGGAGTTTGAGACCAGCCTCACCAACATGGAGAAACCCCATCTCTACTAAAAATACAAAATTCACCGGGCGTAGTGGAGCATGCCTGTAATCCCAGCTACTGGGGAAGCTGAGGCAGGTGAAACGCTTGAACCTGGGAGGTGGATATTGCGGTGAGCCGATATCACACCATTGCACTCCAGCCTGGATGCCAATGAAACTGTCTCAAAAAAAAAAAAAAAAAAAGGGTCCTGCTACTATGAATAAATAGCTCCACAGACCCAGCAGGGGTGAGGGTAGAGGGTCTCACTTATGCCTGGGTGGGCTCTCCCACCTGCATCATACCCTGGCTAGTGACCCAGTCAAGTGTGCTGGGGACTCTGGCTGACCACCTGTTCCCGGGTCAAGGAAGGAAGGATAGGGCAGCATCATGAAGCAGGGCAGGATGACTCCTGAAAGTGGAGACTGAGGCCCTGGGCAGCTCTGGGACCCATAATGATGGCAGCAGCCCCCAGTCATGGGACTCACCATGTGAGCAGCCTGGGACAGCTAAGATCCCCATGAGGTCTCTTTAAAGGATTCACTCAATGCTGCATTTAGGCTTGGCTTGTTTAATTTCTTTAGCCTTTAGTGTAAGACGAGATTTAGTGTATCAGCTCAAGATTTAAACACATCCATGTGGCGATGGGGAAAGGGATTCCCTCAGAAAGTCCTAAAGCTTTCCCTTTTGGATTTTAATTCAAAGCACATATTCTCAAGGAGTTTAATTTCAAGAGAAAAGCCAGCTCAGACAACAGAAGAGAAAGGAGTTAAGAGGAAAGGTAGATGGGAAAGATAGAAGAAAGGCCCCTAATGTTTTCCTCAGCACTGCCAAGACCAGGACCTCACCGTCAGCCTCTGACCTCTTTGTGATAAGCAGGAGTCCTGGGGTCTGGCCAGAGAATTCACCCATGGGGGATGTGGGGGGATGGCAGCTCTCCAGGAACACCAGTTAAGATAGCTAGAACCGCAGAACTGACTGCCTGCCCTAACCCTCCAGCTCCTACCTCTGCTGCCACTCCAGTTCCCCTGCTAAAGCATAAGGCTCCCCAGAGGTCTGGCTTCACAGAAAGCAGGATGAGCCAGTATTATCATCCCTCTCCTTCAGAGCTCATAGAGGCCCAAAGAAGTCTGACTCTCAGGTCTTTCTCCCCAGTTAAAGGCATTACCAGATGCCATTCTGTGAACCCTCTCTCCCACAAGAAAGACCTCCTTTTTTATATATAATTGTCAAAAATTGCCAATGCTGCCTATATTTCAAGTTGTCATGGCGGGGTATTGGGAAAAGTTTTTAATTAGCAATAATCGTGCCTTGGATAAACCTCTTTGGCTACGATACTGCCGCTGCGCAAAGCTAAGAAAGGCCTTCCTCTAAGCCGCACCCGGGCTCTACAGAGGGTGCAGGGCGCAGGTGGCCTTCATGCAGAGGGCACTATGTGTGCTGCCTGAGAGAGTATAGCGTGTTCCCACAGAGCTTCCATATGACCCACCTCGAGGTACCCAGAAAGGAAAAGGCAGTTCAACCTAAGCATGGGGAAAACAGAGTCAGAAGACAGGGTCTGAGAGGAGGAAAGAGCCAGCGCTTCCCGGAAACGGGAAGAGACCTAAAGTCTAGAACAGAAAAGCTTGCAGGCACTGAAATCCCAGAAGCACCCAAATCATCCCCCCAAGAAAACAAGCTGCTCCAGGATTCTGGCACGGAGGAGGGTTGGCAGTGTGGTCACAGCTGGGTTGGCAGGGTATCCTGACCAGTCTCCTGCCAAGTGTGTGCCTGTGCCAGTCAGCCTGTAACAGACTAATGTCCCCCAAAAGTCAGACTTAGGGATGTCGCTCCCCATGGCTACTGTGCATGAGCTGGGGTTACAGCAGCAGGTGGCCCCAGCTCATGCACAGTAGCTATGGGGAGCGACATGCCTAGGTCTGACTTTTGGGGGACATTAGCCCTGCCATGGGTGAGTGGGGAGGAAGGCAGTAGACTAAGATTATTGGGGGAACATAGGGGCACCTGGTCCCATGCAGCCCATAAAACTGGAGGGGTACAGGACGTGAGTAATAGGAAGTTTTTCCTAGTGGGGATATGGGAGGGAGCAGGGAGACAGACTGGAAGTGGCCTGGGTAGAAGTTCTGACCTAGGTGATTCTTGAGTTGAAGACAGAGAAAGTGAGTTGTTTTTTCCTACCTGTTACTAACCAGTAGTGGCTAGGCACAGTGGCCCACGCCTGTAATCTTACCACTTTGGGAGGCCAAGGTGGGAGAATCGCATGAGCCCAGGAGTTTGAGACCAGCCTGGCCGACGTGGTGAAACCCTATGTCTACAAAAAAAAAATTATATATATATATATATATATATATATATTTGTATGTATGTATTAGCTGGGTGTGGTGGCATGTGCCTGTGGTCCCAGCTACTTAAGAGGCTGAGGTGGGAGGATCACCAGAGCCCAAGAGGTCAAGGTTACAGTGAGCTGTGATCACACCAGTGCAGTTCAGCCTGGGTGACACAGTGAGACTCTGTCTCAAAAAAAAAAAAAAAGCAAAGCTGGGCACAGTAGCCCACTCTTGTAATCTCAGCACTTTGGGAGGCCAAAGCAGGAGAATCACTTGAGGCCAGGAGTTCAAGACCGGCCTGGCCAACATGTTGAAACCCTGTCTCTACTAAAAATACAAAAATTAAGCTGGGCATAGTGATGGGCGCCTGTAATCCCAGCTATGTAGGAGGCCGAAGTTGGAGAATCACTTGAACCCAATAGGTGGAGGTCACAGTGAGCTGAGATTGCACTCCAGCCTGGGTGACAGAGCCAGACTCCATCACACACACACACACACACACAAACACACCCAGTAGAAAGTGAGATGTTTAGAGAGAGAGTGGAGAGCTGAAGTCCAAATTAGAGTATAATAAAGTCAACCTAGGCCAGGCGCGGTGGCTCACGCCTGTAATCCCAGCACTTTAGGAGGTGAAGGTGGGCGGGTCACAACGTCAAGACATTGAGACCATCCTGGCCATGGTGAAACCCCGTCTCTAAATAAATAAATAAATAAAATTAAAGTCAACCTGAGCTCCATTCCCTCTGCCTGCCCTGGGCTGGCAAAGGCTGCCGGCATTGTGATGGGTGACAGGTGGTAAATCCCTATGCATCTTCTGTCTAAACTTTGTAATGGCTGGCAGCCAGATTAACGGCACCAGGTTATCATCCACACCCCCTGCTGGGCAGAGATGCAGCTACACCAGGCACCACAGTTACTGAACCAGGTGCTATACACCATGCCTAAGCTCAGCTGGGTCACCAGCCCTAGCTGACCAGGCTGTGGGGCTGCCGGTCAGGGTATCCCACGGAGAATGTCTGCTCATCTGTAAGCATTAAGCGAGAGTTCAGAAGTAAAAATGCTTGTAAAATATAAGTCCACTATCAGTTGGGCATGGTGGCTCACACCCATAATCCCAGCATTTTGGGAGGCCAAGGCAGATTACTTGAGGTTAGGAGTTTGAAACCAGCCTAGCCAACATGGTGAAACCCCATCTCTGCTAAAAATGCAAAAATCTGGCCAGGCACAGTGGCTCACGCCTATAATCCCAATACTTGGGGAGGCTGAGGCGGGCAGATCATGAGGTCAAAAGATCAAGACCATCCTGGCCAACATGGTGAAACCCCATCTCTACTACAAATACAAAAATTAGCTGGCTGTGGTTGCACAAGCCTGTAGTTCTAGCTACTCGGGAGACTGAGGCAGGAGAATCGCTTGAACCCTGGAGGTGGAGGTTGCAGTGGGCCAAGATCACACCACTGCACTCCAACCTGGTGACAAAGCAAGACTCTGTCTCAAAAAAAAAAAAAAAAAAAAAAAAAAATTGTGGTAGCAGGCACTTGTAAGCCCAGCTACTTTGGAGGCTGAAGCAGGAGAATTGTTGGAACCCAGGAGGCAGAGGTTGCAGTGAGCCAAGATTCTGCCATTGCACTCCAGCCTGGGCAACAAGAGTGACACTCTGTCTGAAAAAAAATAAATTAGCCAGGCATGGTGGTGGGTGCCCGTAATCACAGCTACTCCGGAGGCTGAGGCTGGAAAATCACTTGAACCTGGGAGATGGAGGTTGCAGTGAGCTGAGATCACATCCCTGCACTTCAGCCCAGGCAAGAAAGCAAGACTCTGTCACACACACACACAAACTTGTTTATCTGAAATTCAAATTCACCTGGTATCCCAAGTGTTTTATTTGCTCTGTTTCCTAAATCTGGCAATAGGGAGTGTTTAATCTATAGAACTGAAGATGCACCTGAAAGGACAGCTGGCGTAACCCAAGGGCTTCTTGTGCAAACAATGGACCATCAACCTCCAAGGCCCTTTCTCAGCCCAGGTCACCACCTGTTCTCTCTTTCCAGTACAAGCCTCAGAGATTTCAACACTTTTCCTTTCCTATTCAACACTGTCACCATTCTCCCCCCTGCGCCTCCTCTTCCCAAGGCCAGACTGTGAAGCAGGTTGCAGTTGCCTTGCCACTTACTCCCAAAATAAGTTCCTAGCCTCTCACAAGAGCTTTACCTCTAATCACCAGAGAGCGAGATGCAGGGAGACAAACGCAATCAACATCATCAATGACAAAGTCTTGCTCTCTCACCCAGCCTGGAGTGCAGTGGCATGATCACAGCTCACTTCAACCTCCACCTCCCAGGCTCAAGCAATCCTCCCACCTCAGCCTCTCAAGTAGCTGGAACTACAGGTGTGTGCCACCACAACCAGTTATTTTATTTTTTAAATTAAATTTTTTGTAGAGATGGGAGTCTCCCTGTGTTGTGCAGGCCGGTCTTGAACTCCTGGCTTTAAGCAATCCTCCCGCCTCAGCCTCCAAAAGTGCTGTGATTACAGGCATGAGGTACCTCGCCTGGAAACAACAAATAATTTTTTTAGTATAATTTTTTTTTTTTTAATAGAGACGGGGTTTCACCATGTTGGCCAGGATGGTCTCGATCTCTTGACCTCGTGATCTGCTTGCCTCGGCCTCCCAAAGTGCTGGGATTACAGGCATGAGCCACCACGCCTGACCATACCATATTCTTTTTTTTGAGACGGAGTTTCCCTTTTGTTGCCCATGCTGGAGTGAGCCACCACGCCTGGACTTCGTGTTTATATTATTCAGCCTTAAAAAGGAATGAAATTCAGATATATGCAGTTTTGTACATATGTAATGCCATTAAACATACAATCTTTAGAAATTGTAGCTCAAGTCTGTAATCCCAGCACTTTAGGAGGCTGAGGTGGGAGGATCACCTGAGCCCAGGAGTTCCAGACCAGTCTGGGCAACAAACACTATATAGTGAGACCCCTTCTATACAGAAGATAAAACATTATTCAGGCATGGTGGCTAACAGCTGTGTCCCTGCTACTTGGGTGGCTGAAGCAGGAGGACCTCTTGACCCCAGGAGGTGAAGGCTACGGTAAGCCAAGACTGTGGCACTGCGCTCCACCCTAGGACACAGAGTGAGACCCTTTTTCTTCTCTCTCTTATTTTTTAAGAAAGAATTTTTTTTTTTTTTTTTTTTTTTTTAAGACGAGGTTTCTCCATGTTGGTCAGGCTGGTCTTGAACTGCCGACCTCAGGTGATCCGCCTGCCTCAGCCTCCCAAAGTGTTGGGATTACAGGCGTGAACCACCGCGCCTGGCTTTTTTTGTTTTATTTTATTGATTTTTTTTAAAGAAAGAGTTGTTTGCGGCCAGGCGCGGTGGCTCAAGCCTGTAATCCTAGCACTTTGGGAGGCCGAGGCCGGTGGATCACGAGGTCGAGAGATCGAGACCATCCTGGTCAACATGGTGAAACCCCGTCTCTACTAAAAATACAAAACATTAGCTGGGCGTGGTGGCGCGTGCCTGTAATCCCAGCTACTCAGGAGGCTGAGGCAGGAGAATTGCTTGAACCCAGGGGGCGGAGGTTGCGGTGAGCCAAGATCGCGCCATTGCACTGCAGCCTGGGTAACAAGAGCGAAACTCCGTCTCAAAAAAAAAAAAAGAGTTGTTAAGAAAGATATGCTGTCTTAAAAACAGCCATGAAAAACTCTTTAGAAATAGAAAATGATACCATGAATATACCCTGGTTTTCTCATAAAGTTTTTTTGTTTTTTATTTTTGTTTTTGAGACAGAGTCTCACTCTGCAGCCCAGGCTGTAGTGCAATGGCACGATGTCGGCTCACTGCAACCTCCGTCTCACGGGTTCAAGAGATTCTCCTTCCTCAGCCTCCTGAGTAGCTGGGATTACAGGCGCCCACCGCCACAACCTGGCTATCTCATAAAGTTAACATGGGAAGGCTATGGACAACTGAAGTTAATCGCGTTTATTTTACCTTTGGAGAAAACAAAAAGTATCC